AAAAAAAAATCTTATCTCTGGGGTAAAGTTTTGGAAGCAATGAAGGCAGTCAATCCTGAAGTTCCTTTGTCGAAAGAAGTACTTCAGAGAAAATTTCTGAATTTGTTGGCATCGTACAAGCGCATAAAAATAGGAATAGCGAAACAGGCAGAGGCGCAACAACTTGGGAATACTTTGACGATTTTGATAACGTTTATGGCAGGCGGCATTCCATCCAACCCCCAGCTGAAAATCTGGTGTCCAGCTTGACAAACTCCAGCCCAAATCCAAGCGAAGAAATTGTTGAATGCAACGACCACGAGAGTGACACTAACACTGTGGACACTAATATATCTAAAAGCACAACGAAAAAGCGCTCAAAAGATGAAACGCTGCTATTTTTAAAGGAAGAGGCCAGCAGAGAACAAAAGCGCCACGATGAATTAATGAAGCTAGAGAGGGAGAAATTAGAAATGGAAAAAGAAAAAATATCTGTGTTGACGGAATTAAGAAAAGCCTTAGACAAAAGTTCGCAGGCACGTAGAAACTGATCTCATGAATTCACTGTTTTATTAGTTTTAAGCTTATTTTGGATACATATGAATTTTAAATTACTTTATATTATATAAGCACAACATGTGATATGAATTTAAAAAGAAAAAAACACGTAAATGAAACTGATCTTATGAATTCAAGTTTTTTTTTTTAATATATACATGTAATATGAATTTAAAAAGAATAAATATTGACATGAATAAACTTTATGAAAGAAATAGCATCTTTAGTTCATTTCTTCTAGCAACTCCTTCATTATAGTCATTAATATTTTCAATAACTTCTATTTCATGATTACTCTCAGTAATAATATTTGATTCTACACCGGTGTTCTTAAAAGCGTCTGCCAAGCTTGAATCCCCACAATGCTTAATTATAAAATTGTGCAATATAGTGCAGGCCAATACAACTTCCGAAGTGCTCTTTAAACTTGTAACATCGATGTGGTTTAAAATTCTAAATTTTGACCTTAAAACCCCAAAGGCCTGCTCTATTAGTACTCTGGTAGAACTTAGAATGTAATTGAATTTTCTTTCATCGCTGGAAAGATGTCCATTATCTCTAAAGGGTACTATCATATATTTCGATAGTGGATATGCAGAATCTGCTAATATTACGGCTCCACTTGCAAGTTCAACTTCTCCAGATATTATTCCCTTATAAATTGGACTGTTTCTCCATACAGTGGCGTCGTGGCAACTTCCAGGATAGCCGATAAATACATCTAAAAAG